TACTGCCAATCCCTTTCTTAGAGGATTATGATTATTGTTTCACGCAAATCTTTTTTTAATCATCTTTCTTTTGCAAGAGGAATCGTAAGGTACAGACTGTCCTGTACCACGCTTTCCTCTCCCATGACAGACCATCATGGAGAGCTTGATTAAGCTTTACTAACAGATTGACATACGGCCGGCATCCTCATTCTTTCGTTCTTTTTACAGTTGCTACAGTAAACGGATAATCATATCTTTGATCAGGCTCCTACTGGCGGGCATGTCTTTCAGATGGCTGGCCATTATCAGTTTTCATTTCGGTCTGCTATGCTTTCGTCACCGTTGGCCGATGTTTTCTTTGCTTATTCCAACAGTCTTCAATAAGTGAACCTGTACCTGCATCGTTTCAGACAAGTGTGGGCACATCTGTAGGTCAACGACCAAAATAGGATCGCTGGATCAAAGAATAAATGAACTCACAATTTTCTTACATGGTGAGAAAGTTGCTTTCCACGGGGTCCAGGGCAGCCAAACTCCCACCTGCAACGGTGGTGGCGGGGGACACATACCTATTTCTCATGGATCATAAAACAGAGGTTTTTAAAATCGAACTTCGAAATTCTTGCCGTTCTGGTCGATGTAAAATGCTATTTTAATGCAGTGTATTTCTTTCACTACATACTGTACTTGGTTATTGTTTGTATATATGGAAACCGCTGAAGAGACATATTACGTATTGACTCCTGAAATGAAATCTCTAATGGCTTATGGTGGTTTTTTCAGTTGATTCACCTGAGTTCTTCAAACACATTGCATGCCATAGTGATAACTACCTACTTTACAAATGCCACTATTGTTTTTCTCTTTCTAACTGGATTGGCTACTAACTTCAGAACATATGTGATACAATTGCACAGAACTATAAAAAATTTAAAAAGAGGGCACAGAAAAACTTGTGAAGTACAAAAAGGGTCTATAATGTTGTTATAGTATCACTCTAAAGTCAATTTCTTGATTTTAGTAAATGCACTATGGCATCATCGGGAGAATCTGGGAAAAGAATATACACAAAAACTCTGAAGCAGTTTCATGAGTAAAATTTAAAAAGTTTGCTTGCATTTGAGCATTCTTGTTCTAATTCTTAGACTGATTTCTGTATGGAGACTTGGTCCTTTCAGATATCTAGACTGCTTACAGCGTGTAGGACACTCAATGATACTGTTCAGTCTGCACACACCCAAGGTTTATCAAGTGTCTCCTATGCATTGTGGTCGCATGTCCCATGGCATGGTTGTCTGCCTCCATTTGAAAAATTGGATAAAAATCACTCACCCCTGGAATACTGCTGCTGTTTCCTGTGCGGATCCCTGAGGGGGAAACAGAAGCACCTCTGTTCTCCGTGTAATGGTTGAGGAAGGGAATACGGCCCGTTGGTCTTTGAAATCATGAATCTTCCCTGTGGAGTCCCTCATGGGAAGGAAGCATGTTAGAAAAACGCATGCAAAAAGTCAAAATAGAAAATCTTAGGAGTTGAGGTGGGGGTGGAAAATCATCCACCTGGGTGAACATCTGTCACGCGATGGAGACTGAGTTGCCTGGGTCATTCCGCTGAGGAAGCCACACGTCACCGCCTAGCCGAGCGCCAGCAAGTCCTGGGCAGCCGTCAAGGTGGTTCCGATGGTCGGCGTGGCTGGAAAGCCGCTGATCGAGACACAGTTTATGTCTATGTTATTGTTTTAAGTAGGACTGAAAATACATCCACTGATGAGATAAATGATTATTCCCACTCAGTGCCTGTTGACCGAAGGAATGAGAGAGAACGTTCTTGAACCAAGGCATACATGCGTTGCAGAGCTTGCTTGGAAACTCTGGGCCCCCTTCGTGTCTGTATTCCAAAGCACCCCTGGGGGGTGTATTGGATTCACATATATCGTCAGTAACAGCTGTAAGTGTAATAGAGTCAAGTTTTTCTTTTATCTATGAAGAGGTGTCATGAGTAATCATTCAGGACTTGAGTAGGGCCACACGCAAGCACGAGGAAGTACCTCAGAAGGAGGTTGCCTGTGACTTTACAAATGACAGCGCACTTCTGGCTTAAGAAGTTCCGTTTTCTTAATTAATATTTGCATACCCACCCCTGAACTGTACCCCACATCTTTAAAGTAAAAACAAAAACTCCACTCGAAAAATAAAGTTTTGTTTTCTATTCCCGCTAGTTCTTTATCGCTCATATTTTCAAATGACTTGGCAGTTTTTCTTTCTCTTAAAATCACTTCAAAAATGGCTTAGGTAGAGTCCCTCACCCACATGGGCTACTTGCTGTAAGTCCCTGTGCTTAAGTCACTGACTGCTTAAATGTTAAACATACAGAGTTTACCTTCAGACTTTTAATCTTTTTTTTTTTGAGTTGGAGTCTCACTCTGTCGTCCCGACTGGAGGGCAGTGGCCGCTCCCGGCCACCGCAGCCTCGACCCGCTGGGCTCCGGCGATCCTTCTGCCTCAGTCTTCCAAGTAGCCGGAATTACAGGCGCGCACTACCACGCCCGGCTAATTTTTTGGTTTATTGTAGAGATAAGGTCTCGCCAAATTGCCCAGGTGGGTCTCGAACCCGCGGGCTCAGGCAATCCACTCACCCCGGCCTCCCAAAGCGCGGGATTACAGGCTGAGCTATCGAGCCCAGCCAGACTTTCAATCTTTAAACGGACGCGTACCCTCAACAGACCGACGTATGTGGCCAGCAGAAACCACGCCCTGTCTCCCCAAGTCTCCCGCAGAGGCAGATCCCAGGCCCACGCCCTTCTCCCATCAAGGCTTGAGGGTGTCACTCTTGGTTCCCGTCCCACATTTGTAACCTTGTCACTGCCCCTAGGGAAAGGCCAGGGCCAAGGAGACAGAGTGTGGCTTCTGCTCCCCAGGAAGTGCCTGTGAGCACAGGCAGAGAGGACGTCTGTGTCGCACACGCCGGCCGCGGCGGGGAAGATGCCTTCGAGCACCATGGCCACAGCCTGCCCTGCCCGAGCCCCATGCAAGGCCCTGCCACTGGGCTAGGAGTTAGCGCCAAGGGTCAGCTCACTGGTGCGGGCTCAGAGCCAAGGGCTCTCCCGCGGACCCGGGGCCAGGGGCTGAGTCCGTTTTCACTAAGGCTTTGGGCGAAGCCGAATGCGTGGTGGAGTCCCAGACCCCACTCTGCCGGGTCCTCTCATGCTTTCACCCTGCTTCACAGATGCATTCCTGCAATTGTTCAAGCTCTGCCCGGCGGAAGGGGGCACAAACGGTCCTTGCCGTGATCCGCCAGCCCAAGCCACACCGGCAACGAGGGGCAGTCCGGGCTGAGGATGACTCCAAAGCGAGCATCAGGCTCCGGTGCCTGTGACTCATGAGTCACCAGGCTGACGCATCTCCCGATGCTGACACGGCGACGACGCCTGTTTCTGTGCGACTTATTTTCCAGGAGGATGTGCGTGAGGGTATGTTATGCGCCCTTTGGTTGCCAACCAACACCACAGCTGCAGAGCCGTTCAAGTCTTTGAATGATGGCATCTCAGGAAAGCGGAACTGCTCATTTTGTGTCGGTCTATGCACGGACGGCACGGTGGCCACGGCTGGACGGCTTTCTCAGGTCACAGAGGTCGCTTCTGAGTGTGGGTCCACACACTGTGTCATCCACAGAGAAACACCGGCTCACCGAAAAAAGTCACCTGAACTTCCCTTCATGCAGGATGTGATTAAAATGATCAACCACATGAAAGGGCAAGCCCTTAACTCATGTCTGTTCACGCAGCTCTGTGAGGGGACGGACACGGAGCGCACACGTCTTCTCTTCTACAAAGAAGTGAGCTGACTTTCTAAAGGCGGACTCTACCTGGAAGATCAGTGGCCAGAGTTTTTGAGGTATGAGAGGCGCTCCAGAGATTTCTTTTAGAAAAACAGCCACCATCGGCAGCACGCTTCGGTGACACAGGATGGGTCGCCAGACTTGCTTCCTTGTGTGACATGGTCAACCTGCTCATCAAACGCAATCCGTCACCTCAGGGGAGAACGACAACTGTGGTCAAGCTGGCGGATACAGTGGTTCCGTGGAAAGTCAAACTGGAATGATGGGGGCGACGAGCGAACTTTGGCGGAGCTTGCGTTTCAAACATTAGCAGAGATTTTGAAGGCGCCTGAGCCAGGGGACTTCATTCTCCCAGCTGGCGCTTGTCACCCATCTCAGCTCTCAGAAGAGTTTGAGTGTTACTTCCCACCCACAAAAGACCCCTGACCTGGGCAGGAATGGATCATGACCCATTTGTGGGTAAGCCCGATGAATCGACTTTGTCCGTGCTAAGAGAGGGTCGATTGCTTGAGATCGCACATGCAGGGGGGTGTGTGTTTGTTTGAGACAGCTTCAAATCGTCGTGCGTTTTGGATGAAAACGCGGAACAGCCTGAGATTGCCACAAAGGCACTGGAAAACCGGCTTCCGTTTCAACCTCCTCTTTGTGGACTGGGGTTTTCTGCAGTGACAGCAACCAACACAAGACCACGGAGCAGACTGGATGTCAGCAACACACTTGGACCGTTGCTGTCTCCCCCCACCCCAGATGAGACCCTCAGGTTGCAGGGAAACAAGCTCAGGCCTCCCGCTGATTCTGCTTCATGGGAAGCTGTGTTCTCTCTCCCAGTGCAACCGTAGAAAGAAAGGGCACAACAGACGTCATGTGCTCCAGTCATCCCCGATCCATCCCCCCTCCCCCCATTCATGGAAAGACCATTGCCCACCCAATCAGTCTCTGAGGCCAAAAACACTGGGGGCCGCTGCTCTGGTCTCCCTAAACTTTAGTCTAAAGTTTTGGACATTGGCTTTCTCCTCCATCTCAGATGCAAGTCAGCTATTCAACTGTTCGTGTTCTTTGACCCAACTTAATTCACCCTCTCATCTTGTCGGGGGCCGGTTCTCCCCGTCTCTCACGCCTCTGCCCGTCTCTCATTCCCAACTATCCTCTCAGAGATGCTTGTGCAGTCGCTGGCTTGCGAGGGTTAGTGTCTGCTTCCAGGGCAGAGGGACATCTCTTTGTGGCTCAGGCTCTCTCCAGGGCCAAGTTGGGGCGAGTTTGCTAGCGACCCCTTCACAGGATCGAGGGTTTCCTGGGCTCTGGGTGCCTTAGCTCTGATGCCCAGCACGGCACATGCAAAGTCCGACTGGAGGCTGGGGTGGGAGCAAAGGCCGTGCTCCAAGGAAATGTGTGCTGCCTGTTGTGCTATGAGGAACGCAGTTCTTTGTCTCGAGCCCAGAAGTCATGTGTCTTCTGCTGGCATCTCTGAGACTCCAGCAGGTGGATGTGTAAGCTCGCCAGTGAAATTCCAGACCCCTCTCTGTCTTTGGCATGAGTCTGCTCACAGAGAGAGCAACGTTGGCATTTTATATTTGGGTTTTCCTAGCATCCATTTCTCCTCCTGACAGCACCCCGATTCCTTCTCGAGAACGATGTACTCTTCATGAGATACTGTCTTCAGGAAGTTGGCGAGGTGTTCTGTCCTCTCCGAGCCAAGAGGTGAAGGCACAGCCCAGGCTGACCTCACTGGCACGTCACCAGAGGGGCAAAGACCACGAAACCTCTTGGCATTCGTGCATCCCAGCAGCAATGCTCTAGACCAGTATTTTGGGCGCTTTCTGTACGTCCTCTTCCTAGGACCGGGGGTAGCTCGAACTCTGCCCATGTCCAGGCCAAGTTCCTCACCTTTCCCACAGAGTCTGTGAGTGCCTCATATACCCCCAATACATTCATTCTGGCAAAAGTTGTTTTTCGTCACCTGGGGCCAAAGAATTCTGACCCAACCAGCCCGCATTCTGGGCGGTCGGCGTCCCACAGGGCCGCTAAGTGTTTCTGCCTCCGTACAGCTTGGCTATCCCCTCTGCAATTCGGGGAGCAGAACCAAGATGCTACATAAAAACAACACACCCCAGCTTTCTATATTTGCGATCTCATCTCTGGCTAGGAACTACTTCAAAGCGTTCATGTATTGATTTAGTGTGAGCGCCTTCTTCATGCCAGGCACTGCTGGAAATACAGCTGTGAGCCAGAAAGAAGTCATCTCTGCTCTTACAGAGCATACATTCTGGTTCTATTGTGTTGTATTTCTACTCTCGCTTTTTAAAAAGAGACTGTTAGAATATTAATCTCTTAGGTGCCGAAATGGTGCTTTTCTTTTTGTTTTTGTTTTTTTTTGGTTTTTTTGAGTTGGAGTCTCCCTCCGTGGCCCAGGCTGGAGCGCAGTGGCACGCTCACGGCCACCCCGGTGTCGATCTGCTGGGTTCTGGCAGTCCTTCCACCTCAGCCTTCCAAGTAGCCGGAACCACAGGCATGCACTACCACGCCCAGCTAATTTTTGATTTATTGTAGAGACGAGGTCTTGCCAAGTGGCCCAGGCTGGTCTCGAACCCGCAGCTCAGGCCATCCCCTTACCTCAGCCTCCCAAAGTGCTGGGATGACAGACTGAGCCACCAAGCCTGGCGTGCTTTTCTTGTTTATCAGTTTCTAGCATGGAAACTAGTAGATATTCAGTATTCAGTATGTATGTACTAACTAAATAAATGAATCACACTTCCCATGGAAAGTTTCTGGCACTGAAACAAAGGTGCTGTTAGTCACAGATTGTCCATGACAAAGATTAAAGGCACTAGAACCAAGAGGATGAAAGACCAAATAGAGTGCTTCCGTGTTTAAGTGAGGCCAGTCTAACCGTTCTCATGGTCGACCAATTCATTCTCAATGTCCAATCGACCCTGAATATATTCTCAATTAAGAAGCACCTAGACAGTGACTATGGCTACAATTAAGTAGAAAGAAGTAATAAATATGAGAAATACAAATGAAAATTAAATTTAAAATGTTTGACTAGAATTTATTTCACAGTTTAATGAAGAGCGAATTATTTTTGCCCAGAATATGAAAGGACCAGGATGGAATTGACAGATGCAATGAGAAGCCATTGCAAAACCATGCAGCTTGATCATGCTTCCCCAGTCGTTCACTTAACTTACCCTCCAATCACTAGCCAAGGACAGAACCGGCTTCTCAGACGTAGCTACTGAAAACTGTGTTACAAACCCTCCCCAGCTTGTTTTGTACTGCCTAGTCTTTTTATTTCAGTATTTGTCTTCACTCGTAAGCCCCAAGTTAATCAGCCCTTTGTGACCTGCCTGACACAAATAAACCCCACCATGGCAGCCATCATGTGACTGGCCCACCCATCTGCCTGCGGCCATCACCTGAGGTCAGTACCTGGGCTTACCTGCCCTCTGTGATAATGTGGGACAGACCACCACCCATTCACCTTGATGACCTGCTCATCGAAGGGAAGGTTTAAAAGCACTCAACCTCTATCAGCCTTCACCATTACTTTGCTGAGCTCTGGTATGTCCCTGTGTCTCTTTGAGCCGTGGCCGCCATGTTTTCTAGCTGTAGTCCCTACCCTACCTTGGGGAGGCGAACCTCCTCTTGCTCCAATTTACTTTCTAAATAAGCTGTATTTTCCACCCTGACAATCCGTTTCATCTCTTGTGTGGCACCAATCGCACCACCCCCGAGGCAGGTCTGACCTAGCATTCTGGAGACCCCACTGGGATTTTTAACCTAGCCGATAAAATGAAATATAGTCTGGAACCTTAAAATAAGGCAAAAATGATAGTCTTTATTGATTGTTTCTTGTCATTTCATCTTGTTTTCTTCTAGGGCCTCTCTTTTTTTGGGTAAGAGTATACCTTCTTTGGCCACAAGGCTTAATGGCTCAAGCCTGTCATCCCAGCACTTTGGGAAGCCGAGGTAAGAGGATTGCCTAAGCTCAGGGGTTTGAGACAAGCCTGGGAAACTTGGTGAGATCTTGTCTCTGTAATAAACCACAAAATTATCAAGGTGTGGTAGCATGCGCCCGTTGTTGCAGCTACTTGGAAAGCTGAAGAGGTAGGATCACCCGAACCCAGCAGGTTGAGGCTGCGGTGGCCGTGAGCGTGCCACTGCCCTTTAACCTGGGCGACAGAGTGAGACTCTGACTCTTTAAAAAAAAAAAAAGGGTATAACTTTTCCATCCCAGTATATATTTTCTTCTTTTATTTTACCAATTTTATTTTTAATGAGTGATGTCCCCCATGGAGCCACCTGTTTCCACTTCAGCGTCTATTAAAACTGATGTTGACAGAGTTATTATCACCAGGTCTCAAGTCGGAGGCCGAAGATGCCGATGCCATGACCGCCCCAGCAGAGGGTGGGATGTCATGGCAGGGCGTGGAGTGGGACTCACAGCCCACTCACTGTTTTTGCTTGCCTGAAAACTACCCTTTCTCCACGCTTGCTGGATCACTGAAGGACACATGGACAGGCCGTGTGTGTGTGTGTGTGTGTGTGTGTGTGTGTTGTGTGTGTGTGTGTGTGTGTGTGTGTGTGTGTGTGTGTAACTTCAGTGACAGCTACTAAGTTCTCCTTAAAAGAATCAACTGAATTCAACTGAATTGTGTCCAGTACAAAGAGGTCAGGGCAGAGTATCAGCTAAAAGCAATTAAGCAGTCTGCCACATATGTTCAAATGAATCAGTGACGAATAATTGCTCTGCCTTCCTGTTCCATTCAATACACACAGGGTGAGTGGAACAGATGGGAAAGCAGGGAGAAGAAAATATATACTATTTTGCACCGAGAGTTGGGTCCCTGTCTGAGAACGACTAAGCCTAGAGGGAGCTTTAACAAGCGGCCCGAAATAGAAGGATCTGAATGTTTCTCACGACCACACAGCTGTTTCTGAATGAAAAGAAAGTGCAGCTTGGCGAACAGTCATTGAACACTCCCCATGTAAGAGACAACCTGAGAGACACCCAGATGAGGGAGACGCGATTTCCATCTGAATGGGGCTTACGTGGGAGGAGAGGAGGCGATCTGTGTGGCTCACAGCAGAACAAGACCAGGCGAGGCAAGACAGATTGCAACGGGAATTGAAAAGAAAATGTCCCCGCTGGGAGGCGGACAGAGGTCTCTGTGGACCCCAGCGAAGCAGCCAGGAGCGAGCAGAGCACCTGAGTTCCAGCAGGGGCGAGTCTTCCTGCGGGGACCTGAGCAGAGGGCTCGGTGCTGTCAGGTCGGGGCTGGCGGCCCGGGGGAGGAAGCATCTGGAAGGACCGCCTCTGTAAGTAGCTTGGTGCATGCTGCAGTTGCATCCAGTTTTAGGAGAGGAGGAGCCACGGCAGAGCGGGTTTTGGAAAAGGTAATGGGTGGCCGCTGATGGAGAGACCACCGAGGGGACGGACGAGGACAAGGCCAGAGCCCCGCGGCGGGATGGTCCGTCGCCATCGCTGAGACTTGGCAGACAGCATGGAGGCTGGGCACTGGGAGGAGGGTCCCCGAGACGGGTCGGGGCAGGGCGTGAGGATGGGATGTAAGAAATGTCCAGCTGGGGGCGAATCCCTCCGGCACCCCGCCCCCCCCCCCCCCCCC